TGGCCAAGAGCCTGCTGAAGGCGCGGGAGGCCCGCGAGTCGTTGGGCAAGAAGCGTCCAGGCCAGCAGGGGCAGGGGTGATGCTCGGCTGCCCCCTCCAGACGTCCCTCAGGTCTGGTGGGGGGGACATCGACGCAATTGGGGATGCTCGGAGCCCGTCGCGGCCTCCGGGGAATTTTGACAGGAACGTCGGGCGGGACTTGTTGCCGTTCCCGACAGAGCTCCCCCCCTCGGCAGAGCCACATGCACCTGGGCTCTCGCGAGGGTGCCGGCAAAGAGCCGGGCGTCGGCGGCGTCGCGATGCTGACGTTCTTCGGTGCTTAGAGGGTCTCAACACGCCCTACGGCGTCAGGGGGGAGGCGCAGCCGCCGAGTGACCTGAGCCGCGGGCAGCAGCGTGTGCTCGAGCATGTTGAGACCTCCGTCTCTCGCCTGGGGCCTCCCCCAGGTGATCTTTCGCAGGCGGCAGCCCTTCAGGCGCTGCGCCTCGGCCTTCCCTACGACGCAGGTGGGGGCCCTGTAGGCTATGAAACCTCCCGCGTCTCCCTTCCAGCTGCAGGGTCGGTTCCGACTCCGATCGCTCGGCTTTGGGGATTCGGCGGGGAAAGTGTTGTTGCTCGCTTTGTGGAGTCGCAAGTCTTGCCTATCGACGTGGCTCGATCGAAGTTGAAGGATATAGGCCCAGCTCGGCCGTGCGGTGACCCTCGCCTCTTCTCTTCCTCCCTTTACGGTGAATTCGTTCAACGCTTGATCGAGGCAGGCGTAGTTGAGCTCTCGCTCGAGCCCGTCTCCGAGGTAGTCGATTGTTTTTTCGTGAAAAAGGGGAGCGGCAAACAGCGCCTGGTCGTTGATTGCCGACGATCCAACCAGCATTTCGAGCCGCCCGCCCCGGCCAGTTTGGCGTCAGGCGACGCGCTTTCACAAGTCTACAGTGACGTCTCTTCGGGCCAGCCCCTCTACATAGGCCAGGTAGACATCAAGGGCGCGTTTTACCACATGGAGCTCCCAGAGGAGCTCCGGCGTTTTTTCGGTCTCCGGAGAGTTCGGGCATCTTGGGCCGGTGTCTCGGAGGTCGGAGGCGTCAAAGTTTCTCCTGGGACTTGGGTCCGTCCTCGCGTGCGAGCTTTGCCTATGGGCTGGTCTTGGGCTCTCTGGTGGCGTCAGGCGATTCACGAGCGTGCGGCCGAGGAAGGGGGATCCCCTGCAGTGGCGCGTCTCGCCGATGGCTCTCCCCCTCCTCCCCTGGCTTCCTCTCCTCGCGCCCAGTATGTTGACAACTGCGCAGTGTTTTCAACGAGCGAGACCGAAGTTCGGGAGCGCCTGGCGGGAGTGTCTCAAGCCTTGGAGCTCCGAGGATTGCCGTTGCACAAAGAATCCATCTCGTGTGATCGTGCCGTTGTGCTGGGGTGGGAAATCGACGGCCTGCGGCATGTCCTCCGCCCGACCCCCGAGCGTGTCTGGAAGGCTCGCCTGGCCATGCGGGGTCTTTTAGCGCGTGGCTCGGTTTCTGGAGGGGATCTTGAGCGCCTCTTGGGCCATCTGTGTTTCATCGGCTTATGCCGGCGAGAGTCTCTCAGCGTGTTCAAACACTGCTACCGTTTTTGCGAAGCTGCCCGTAGAGGCCCAGCCCGGGAACCTAGGAGTCTCTGGGCCTCGGCTCGGAAGGAGCTGGATGCGTGGGGCCGCATCGCCCCGCTCATTTGGGTGAACACCTCGGCGAGTGCCTGCCGGGACGTCGCGGCGGTGGACGCGTCGCCGCGGGGTCTCGGGGCTGTGCGGGGGCGACCGCCGCAAGGACTGGTGGAGGAGGCTTGCCGTTATTCGGAGCGTGCAGGGGCCCGTGAGGCGGCCCGCGAGGGCCGCCCGCCCCGGGAACGGGCCGCCCGCCCCGGGAACGGGCCTCCGCCGCGGCCGCCGCTCAGCTGAACGGGGGGGGCGAGAGGCCCGTCAGGCAGATCCCCATGGAGCTCGCGCGGGCCCCTTCGCGCGACGATCGACCCGAGAGCGAGTTCGACCTCAGGCATCGGAGTCACTTCAAGGACGCCCCCCTGGACCTCTTGAAGATCCCTTGGAAGGTTTGCGGGGGGCAGGAGTGGAAGCGCCCCTCAACGTCTATGCCGACATTGGAAGCGGAGGCCCTCTTGTACGGAGTTCGTCACCTCATGAGGTCCGTTGCCAACCTGGGTTCGAGGCTGCTCGCGATCGGCGATTCGGTCTCCGCTTCACTCGCAGCCACCAAGGGCAGGTCGTCCGCCGATGGCATGCTCTCGGTGACCCGCCGTGTGGGCGCGCTGCTGCTGGCCGCGGGCTGCCTGCTGCGGTCGCGCTGGATCGCCTCGGAGCTCAACCCCGCGGACGGCCCGTCGCGCGGGCGGGGGTCGCCGAGCGACCTTCTTGCAGGGCTGCGACGCGAGCTGGCGGCGGCCGCCCAGGAGCGGCGCCATGCTGGCGCGCGGCAGGTCCGACAGGTCGAGGACCCCCGCAGGCCGCCTGCCGCTGCCGCCCAGCTCGGCTTCAGCCCACCGCCTGGCCTTGGCCCTCCCCGATGCTGGGGGCCAGCGCGCGGCGGCGGCGCGGGTCCGCGCGCGGCGCGCCGCCGAGCTGGCTGCTGCGAGGGCTCCAGAGGCCCAGATGAGTCTGCTGAGGAGATCCTCAGTCTCGGTGAAAACGCAGGCTCAGTACTCGCTCTACCTGTCGGCCATGCGCCGGTACTGCCACTCCCGCGACTTGGGCGAGCTGTTCGCCGAGGAGGAGTGGGACCTGGCCACCGCAGGCCTGATGGAGATCATGTTCATGGAGGGCGGCTCGCTGGGCGCTGGCGAGAAGCTGCTGGCGGCTGTGCAGTGGGCGGAGCCCCGGCTGGGACGGCTGGGAGGCGGCCGAATGCCGATCTGTCGGCAGTGCCTGCGGGGCTGGCGTCGCGCGGCACCGTCGGGAGGCCGCCTGCCGTTGCCGTGCGATGTGGTGGCTCTGCTGGCGTGCTGGATGCATTGCCAGGGTCGGAAGCCGCACGCTCTCGCGATCCTGATGATGATGGAGCTCTACCTGCGGCCAGGCGAACCGTTCCTGCTGCGGGGCCGCGGCATCGTGGCAGGGGCTCTCAGCGGGACCCGCGAGTGGGTTCCGACCTCCGTGCTGCTGCGCCCTTTCGAGATGCGGACGCCGTCCAAGAATCAGGAGTTCGACCAGGCGATATTGTGCTCGACCTCGAGCGCCAGGCAGCGCTGGGGGACGCCCTGGCGCAGCTGGGACGGGAGCGAGGCGACGGGCTGCTGCTGGAGTTGGCCCCCAGCGACCTCCGCCGGGCCTTGGACGAGGCCGCGGCGGCCTGGCGACTGGGGCCTCTCGGCCCGCTCGATGCCTACCGTTTCCGCCGCGCGGGAGCGAGCGTCGACTTCGCCGCCGGCACCCGGCGACTGGAGGAGATCCAGCGTCGCGGCAGGTGACGGTCCGCTCGAAGCCTGCGGCGCTACGAGCACGGGGGCCGGCTGACCGACCTCTTGCGCCGCCTGCCGCCCGACGCGCAGCGGGCGGCCGCAGTGGCCGCTCGGGAGCTCCCGGACGCGCTGCGGGGGAGACGGGTGCCGTCGCTGGGCCGCTGAAGGCGCCGACCGTCGCCGTGTTCTTGGAGCTCTTCGCGGGGTCGGGCCGCCGGTCCGATGCCATGCAGCGTCATGCGGTGCCCACCCTGCGCTGGGACGTGCTGTACGGGCCGAGCTATGACTTGCGGAGTCCCAAGAACGCCCGGCTCATCCGAGGATGGATTCGAGCCGGCCTAGTCTGCGGGCTCCACGAGACCTCGCGCGCGCGTGACCGCCCAAATGGGCCGCCCAGGCTCAGATCAAGTGAGCACGATTGGGGACTGCCGTCATTGCTTGCCGACAGCGCCGACTCCCAGAAGGTCCACTGGGGCAATCACTACGCGAGGCTCACGATCTGCTTGTGTGTGCTATGCTGCCAGTGCTGTGCGCCTTGGACTATCGAGAACCCAGCGCTCAGCTACGCGTGGGAGTTGCCGCCCATGCGTTCGCTCATACAACGGAGTCAGGTGAGCTCGCAGGTGGTGGAGTATTGCCGCTTCGGAACGCCATGGAGGAAGAGTACCAGATTCATGGGCTATCTGGTCGACCTCGGCCCCTTCTCGAAGTATCGGTGCGTCGGCCCAGTGTGTGTGTGTGTGTGTGTTGTGACAGGACAGAAGCACCAGGAGATGTCTGGCAAGGATGCGACGGGTGTGTTTCGCACGAAGCGTGCCGAAGCCTACCCTACGAGACTGTGCAACCTTCTCGCGAGAGCCTACTGTGATGAACGAGCCAGATCCCGGGCTGGGCAGTTTTCCATATTTATAAATCGTGCATCTGGTCTCGCGAGCTGATCCTTCTGTGTAAAAAGTGGCACTTTGATTTCAACATTGCATGTTTTGTCGGCGTTGCCAGATTAGCTTTGCTGTTTGCAGCCGCTTGCATGTATCCGAAATGATTTCGTTTCGTGTCAGTGGCCGCTCGTCTCTGTAGTGTGATGGGCGGCAGCTCCTTGCACCCAATGCCGTTTCGAACACCAGCCTCCTGGCCCGCGGAAGCGAAAACAGGGAGCATGATTCGTTCTCTGAACAGGGTTGTTCCGTTGAAGTTGGTGCGGGCCGCTGTCTACGTTCATCCGTTGACGTTTCGCTCAAGCTCCCCCCCTCCCTCCCTCGCTTTTTCTCTCACCGTGCTTGTGCATGTGCATGTATCCGAAATGATTTCGTTTCGTGTCGGTGGCCGCTCGTCTCTGTAGTGTGATGGGCGGCAGCTCCTTGCACCCAGTGCCGTTTCGAACGCCAGCCTCCTGGCCCGCGGAAGCGAAAACAGGGAGCATCCTCCTCCTCCTCCTCCTCCTCCTCCTCCTCCTCCTCCTCCTCCTCCTCCTTCCCTCCTCCTCCTCCTCCTCCTCCTCCTTCCCTCCTCCTCTGAACCCCGCCGGGCGCCGCCAATCCCCGCCCCCCTCCCCCCGCTGGCCGCAG